TTAAGAACAGTTCTTCTCACTTTGCCTCACTAAATTTCCAGGGCAGTTTACAGTAAATACTTAACTCATTCGCTACGCCAAGCCGTGGGGGGCGGCGCGGCTAAAGTGCCGTCAGTACGCTAAGCCGCCCTAGGCGGCTCAAAAACCGATCTTCCATTTCAGCGTAGATTCTATTCCAATCCACATATCCATGTTAAAATAAAGGTCATAATATAATGTTGACTTCCGGGTCAAGCGTTTCCACCGAAAATCGGAAGTTTTGATTCAGTTTGGAAACACAATTTCGAAGTTTATGCCACTTTGTTTTATCGCAATTCTCAAATTATAGCCCAGACCCCAGTCTTACTACTTTTACACTACAAAATATATCATTATTTTGCACACTAAAGAAATGTAGGACTCTTTTTTAGAATATTAATACAATTGGGCTCAAATTGCCATTGCTCTGTTATTGAGAAATCAATATTTTTCAGTGCTAGATCTAAATTGTCACATTATTTTTTTTTCTCCCAAAATTTTTTTTTGAAATTACACAAAAAGTACCACTCAAGACGTGTGTAGGTTTATTCCAAATGCAATTCTGAATAATTCCATATACAATACTAGTGGTTTATTTTCTGTTTGTGAATACATCTTGTCCATTTTTCAAGATAATACATTTTTTTTTTTTTTCAAAATCGGATGTCATGATCCAAAAGTGCAAATTTTATGGAATGTATGTAAATAACTGCAAATTTTTAAATATTTTCCAGTTCTATATTCATTTATGGTTATTTTGATGTATCATTTGACTAGGTGCAAACATACTTTTTGAGTTTAACCGAAGTTGGTTAATTTTTTATTTTCAAATTTTATCCGCATACAAGCAAAATTGTGTTGCATAATCGCCTCTTACAGGAACCAAAGTTGAAAAATTCACAAATAAACTTTACAGATGTATTCTACAAATCATACTGAACATTTCGGTATATAATATGTTAATATTTATTTGAATTTGTGGCCCCAAAGACCTTTGAACTGCGCACTAATCATCATCTCAATTCGCCTTCCCGAAAAAAATTCGTCCACCAGCCGAAAATAATACGTAGCGAATGAGTTAAACTGTCAGGATGAGCGATTTTTTCGCATCTCAAATGTTCCCGCTAGAGCAGCTTTGCTTGAGGATAAATTCAGGGATTTGTATACTGAAAATGCATACATCAAAATGGAAATCAAACTAAAACTAGCATACAAGACAAGGGAAACCATCCTATCTTTAAGCTTTGATGTTTCTCACTCAATAGTTATTTTTACTTTCTTATTGAGTCTTTTTGAATTTTTCAGGAACGGTATAAATCGGTGGGACTTTTGACCACAGAGTACAGGGAAGTCTTTAACCCTATCCGTATGCCCTGAGGTCATTTTGCATGCCCGGGGTTGTATTATTTACATTTTAGAAGACTTCTAGTGCGAAGATCTTTTTGAAACTTTCAGTATTTCTCAAAAAATCATTTTGACAGACTGCTATGCAAAGCGTATGGATCGGATTAACGAGTAAATTTATTTTTTGGAAAGTGGTGGCACAGAGTTCGTATGGATACGATAGTAAAACACGACATATGGATAGGGTTAAGTCTACGAAAATAAGCTTCAAGAAAGTAATAGTAGTAACCAATATATATAAATTCCCTCCCTTTTTTCCATTGATAAAACGTCTTTGGCATTCTTTCATATCACACAAAGCACAAAAAGTGACTTTCTAATGTGACAATTACAGCATGAATTTCAGCATAAGCTCTTGTTTTTACTCAGAGTGTAAAACTAGTTCTACGACTAGTACCACAAAGGCCTTCCTCCAGAACAGTTCCAGAAGGACAGCCAAAGTCCACTGCTAAGGCCAGTGTATCTTTATCTCCCTTGTATGTTTGTCCACCCACAGTCACTGTGAACAGTTGCTCTGAATTGTTCACAAGTGCCTGCGCTGCATCCTCAAATTGGTAGACAGACTCCTGCTCATTCTCAATCTCTGCATCTGAATTTGAAAAACAAGCACACAATATGCATAACTGGCATAGGAACCTACATAAGAAAATGAAAAGAATTTGTGAAAGAACGATTTCTGATTTCATAATAAATAATATGCACTTGGTCTTTTTTTAACATGTTTTATACAAATTCTCATTCTGAGACATTCGTAATAAAAAAAAAATTCCTCCTTTGAAGCTATGGAAAATTCTTTACAGGAGAGAAAGTGAGAGGGGTCTCAGAATAAACTCTTTTTCAAGTGCCATTGTCTCACAATCTAACAGAGCAACCAGACTATGAAAAAGTTGAGGTTGTCAAAAGATGTAAAAAGTACACCCTTAACTCATGTGAGCTTGAGCTATTTTTCACCCAACAACTATTGCAGCCTGACACTTTTAGGGTATATTGAAGTGTTAACTTGAAGAAAAATAAATTTACAAGTAAAGAATTCTTCATAGAATTTCAAGATCTACTCTTTCAACTAGAACAAGCTGCCTCCCCCTTTTACATCATAGGGGATTTCAACTTTCACTTTGACGTTCCATCTGTACCAGACACCAAACGCCTCGTTTCAATTCTTGACGATCATAATCTACAGCAGCTAATCAAAGAGCCGACACATCGTAGTGGTCACATTTTGGACCTGCTAATTACCAACACTGCTGACCAACATGTTCTTAAACATCAGGTTTTAGATAAGGCTATCTCTGACCATTCTCTTCTGATAGCTAATATTAACATCTCCAAACCAAAGCACGAAAGAAGAAGCATACTTTCAAGGAACACGAGAACAATAGACACACAGGCACTTCGGGACGACGTGAGCAAAACACTGACAAGTCTATCATCCCTAGAAGCAGACACATTTCATGACACTCTGAAAGCGGCAATCGACCAACATGCGCCAATGGTAAAAAGAAACATTTCATCGAGACCCTTTTCTCCTTGGTTTTCACTTGAAATCAAAGAAGCCAAGCAACATCGACGTCAGGCAGAACGCAGGTGGAGGAAATCAAAACTTCAAGTTCACAGAGACATCTTTATTAACCACCGAGACAAAGTCAACCCAGTCATTGAAAATAACAAGAAAAGATACTATCTACATGAATTACAAGATGTTAAATCACCCAAACAACTCGTTCAGACTACCAATGCTATTCTGGGAAAAGAAACAATATCTCCTCTCCCCTCTGCAACATCAGATGACAAACTTTGTAGTTTATTTGTGACTTTTTTCAATGACAAAATTAATACCATACGCTCTTCTCTCGACCTAGAGCCAAATGGAAATTTGAAATTTTCAGAATTTACTGGACAGATATTAGATTCTTTTAGTCCAGTTACAAATAGTGATATTTTAAATTGTATTAATGGGTCAACCATAAAAACATGCAACCTTGACCCAATGCCTGCTCATGTACTCAAAACCTGTATTGATATTGTCCTACCTCACATTACTCAGATAGTGAATATGTCACTTGCCACTGGCACAGTACCTAATACTTTCAAACAAGCTATTGTAAAACCTTTATTGAAAAACCCGGGCTTGATAAAAATGAATTAAAAAACTATCGACCAGTTTCGAATTTGCAATTTGTCTAAAAAATTCTAGAGAAGATTGTTTTAAGTCAAGTTTTGTCTCACATGAGAAAAAATGGTCTTGAGGAAATTTACCAATCTGCCTATAAAACTCATCATAGTACCAAAACTGCGCTTTTAAAAGTAACGTCTGATTTATTGGATTCCATTGATAGCAAAAACATCTGTCTTTTAACTCTTTTGGATCTGTCCGCAGCTTTTGACACAATTGACCATGCTATTCTACTCACAAGACTTGAGCGCTCATTTGGCTTATCGGGTACTGTGCTTTCATGGTTTAAGTCATATTTACTAGAAAGAGTTCAGTCAGTGCAAATTAAAAATAGCTTTTCAAAGCAGGTCAGGCTCGATTATGGAGTTCCACAGGGGTCCGTTCTTGGACCAGTGCTCTTTACACTATATACACAGCCCTTAGCAAGCATTTTACAAAATCATGGATTGAATTATCATTTTTATGCCGATGATACCCAAATGTATGTTAATGGCACCATTCAAGATCTACCAAACATGATTTCCATCACTAAACAATGTTTTTATGAAATTAAAAAGTGGATGACAGTAAACAAATTGAAACTAAACGAAGAAAAGACAGACATCATTCTTATAAAAAATCCACGATTAAATAAAGATCTGGAAAGTGTCAACTTTGATTTATATGGGCATATGACATCTAGTAAAGAAGTTGTCAGGAATCTCGGTGTATATATTGACCACCACTTATCAATGGGCTCGTTTGTAGGATCTCTGTCCAAATCCCTTCATTTTCAGCTGAGAAGGATAGGCCTAGTTCGAAAGTACTTAAGCGAAGAGACCACAAAAACACTGGTAACATCTCTTATCCTATCTAGATTAGACTATTGTAACTCACTCCTAGCAGGTCTGAACAACAAATATTTGAATCGTTTACAAGTAATTCAAAACAATGCCGCTAGACTGATAACAAGATCTAAAAAACGAGACCATGTCACTCCATTATTAAAAGAACTGCATTGGCTCCCTGTAAAAGAACGAATAATATTTAAAATCTGCGTCATGTGTTTCAAATGTGTAAATAAAACTGCTCCTTTTTATCTACAAGAACTTATCAGTATATATAAACCAGGGAGAAACCTAAGATCATCGACCGATAACACCCTACTTGTGACACCTGTAAAATCATACAAATCATATGGAGAGAGATCTTTCTCATATCTTGGTCCATTTATGTGGAACAGATTACCCATGAAACTAAGACAAATAAGAACACTTGATAGCTTCAAAAGACATCTTAAACATTTTCTGTTCCTACAGGCCTATCCTTCATAAGCTTTTAACGTTATCTTTCATTATATTTGTTCTGTTCCTATGTCTGGATGAAAATAGTCTCTCTGTGTGTGTGTGTGTGTGTGTGTGTGTGTGTGTGTGTGTGTGTGTGTGTGTATGTGCATTAATGTATATTGCTTGAGAAGAAAAGAAGTAGTAAGAAAGGTTTTTGAAAAATGGGTATTCCAATGTAAAGAGCATTGAGCTACTTTTTTTGGAAATGCGCTATATAAATGTTATATATTATTATTATTAACCACAAAGAGACTGTGAAAGCTAACATAAGAAAAATGAAAAAAGAGAAAGAAAGAAATGCTCTCACAGAAAAAGAAAATTGCATCTAATTTGTCTGAAGAGCTTTTTTAAAATCAACATTTTGCAATAGCAGCAATGTCTAGGGGTTATGCTAGTCCGTTACAGCTCAAAAAGTATAGCACATAACTTCACAAAATTTTTAATGACATGAAAAAAGTGGGACAACTGTTGGCTCATTATTTCCCATTGCTTGTAACCGAAAAACGTAGGAGATATTGATTGATAAAGGGCATAAATACACAGGATTAGGCCACCGGGCCAGCGGAGCTTCCCATAAATACACGGGAATAGGCTCAAGTGAGTTAAAGAGGTGACATGTCTTCTTGCAACACATCCATTCTTTAACAATTCTGATGCTTGAGGTCCATCCCGTCAGTAATGACCATCCACTGACAAAACAGGTCTCTTATACCGGAAGTTCATTCATTAGATGAAGAAATATTGAAACAGGTTTGCTAGTTTCAATTTAATGACCCATTTAATGACGATTTTGTAATTTTTAGATTTAGCACCAAAAAATGGCCCCGGCGTAGTGGGTTTACCCCCCCCCCCTCGGAGATAAAGAGCTAAGGTCTTGACTGCCCCAACAGTAAAGTCTACAGAATCCACCACTCACAAAATATGAAAAGGTTATATATCAAAAGGATGAGTGTATGTGAAAAGACATGAATAACAAACGCTACCTACAAGAATTTTAACTAATGTGCAAAACAGTCTTTAAAAAAAACAACAAAAATCACCTGTTGCATTTTCCATGTCTATGCCACTTGAAGGCGACGTAACATTCAACACTATAGAGAAGATCACAGCACCTGGAAAAGGTTAGGAAAATGACTATGTTTCTGTTACATGTGCTCAAGATTCTCAATATAGAATTATACAAATATAACATAATATTGATTATATATATATATTCATTAAAAAAAAAAAAATTTCCCTCTGTGCGCGACTCTAACCATGTATCCGCCAAAATAGTTCCAAACACTTTTTTTGAAAAAAAAAAAGCATTTTCTTTCTCATTGTATCTTCCAGAATTGCTCACATTTTGTGAAGAGTGTTCTTTTACCACTTATTGTCATTACAATTGTTAATAGCATAATCTGAGACAAAAAAAAGTATTCACTGTCTCTCTGTCTGTGTCTCAGTCTGTTTGTCCATGTATCTGTTTGTCTCTTTCTCTCTCTTTTTCTCCCGCAGACTCTATCTATTTCTCTTTCTAATCTCTCTTCCCCCCCTCTCTATTTCTCTCTCTCTATCTCTGAATCATTCACATTATACAGTTGAACCTGCCATGACGGCCACCTATATAATACTGCCACTGGTACAAATGGCCACTTTCCATTCCCCCCCTTGCCTTTTTTCTATATAATTTAACTGTGTAAAATGGTCACCTGTCCAATGTGGCCGCCGCCACCTTATTTTATCAAACCACGGTCTAATTTACCTCCCTCGGGTCACTGACTGCCTGATGCTTTGTCATAAACTTGGAATTGGCCCCTCACTCTGTGGACGGGCCATCATAATTCATTCAAATGTCGCTATAGGTTAGTCCCTCCAATGAATGTTTACCCAAGTTGACCAATGGGCTTGCATAACAATACATTTTCAACTGCTGGTGAGGGAGGCGTGATCTGTCATAACCAATAAGTCCGTCCACAACTCGAGCACAAATTGTGTGTGAGGTGACTGGTCACTGTCTTGTTTACCTAATCTGTAACATAACAAAGTAACAATGGATGTTAATGTCATAACTTGCGACAGAAGCATTGCTTGTTCTCCGAGTGGTGGCGACCCAGTGTTTGTTTTACTATGGCACTCGGTCTTCATCATCTTACTTACATAACATTTAATTTATTTTACCCTTGCACAAAATCAGCAAAAAAAAAAAAAAAGAAGGCAAACTGACCCTAGAATCCACTCAAAAACAAAATAAATATTGGCACTCCCCCCCCCAACTAAACAGCAACAACAAAAAATCTTTCTTACACCCATCCACCCCCCTCCTCCCCTTTTTCAAAAGAAAACAAAAACCCTTTTGAATTTGCCTTACGGCAGTCCTAATCCTTCAGCCCTGGTTTGGACTTCTGACGAGAATGGTTTGCTTTCTTTATTTTGATCAGTCCTGCCTAAAACGGCCACTGGTGTTATACGACCACTTTTCTCCATGACAATTGGTGGCCGTTTTACACAGGTTTGACTGTATATTCATTCAACCTGGGTCCACACAAGGTAAACAGCCATCAGTCAGATCAAATATCTGTCAAACCACCTTTCAAGTGTGGCGTCGACTTCCCTCTGCCTCTTGTGCCTGATGGTACAGGGAGAGAGTAAGTTCTCCATTTAAATACCTACTAAATACCCACCTGCAGACCTCTTGCCTATCCCCCCAGAAGTCACAGTGCTGTAGGAGACATTCAGGTTGCAAGAGTTGCCACAGCTGACAGTGTTCTTAACATTGTTCTGAACACCGTCACTCACTGCCTGAGGATCTGAGATGTCGTCCATGCGGGCAGACAGAGTCATAACCTTGGTTGTTGTTGGCTCAGCCTCTGATGGTGGAGATATTAATAATAATAACAATAACAATAATAATAACAATAACAACAACAATACTGACGATAATAACTGATCATAATAATAATAATAATAATAATACTGATAACAAAAATAATAAAGATAATAATAAGAAGAACAAGAATAATGAGAATAATAATAATTAATAATAATAATAATAATAATAATAATAATAATAATAATAATAATAATAATATTAAATAGCATTTGTATAGCGCATTCGTCCATCTCAAGGGCATATTCTATGAATCTATATCATTATCCCAGCAGACCGCAGAATAGTCAGAAACCTTCTCAACATCCAGGAAGCATCCAGTGCAAGCGGCCAATTATAGCTTGTTCACGTTTCTCTGAACGCGGTTAAAACAAGGTTAAATGAAATTGCTCTGTTTAATCTTCTCAGATTTTTGCATAAAAGGGTCTAAAAATTGGATGACCAACAGAATCTAAAAACCAAATCATAAAGGTCTTTGCAAACTACGGTTCCAACACCTTTACTTTGATATTAGCCTAAAGTGGGTAACATTTTTTTTAAAAAATAGGGGATCTACAATATACACCTTAAACATTCAAAAGTTGACATATTAATTTTCTCAACATCACACTTTAACATAATATGCTTAAAAAACACAATTCAAGAGATGGGGTGAGTACTTTTCAAGACTCACATGGAGACGTCTAGACAGCCGTGGGATGAAATCTACAAGCTTAAAATTACACTGAAATGTGGGGGCAGGGTGGTGTCGCTGTCTCGAAATGAACAATCAGTAAGCTAGTTTATTGAAAGTCATCTATATCAGTGATCCTGTGCATGCATCCAAAGAGCGGCTTTTATTATAGGGCCCAAATAGAGAACATTTTTATTACTGGATCAAGATTTTAAAAAGAATATATGTTTGTTTGTTTGGTCACTGGCCAGCAGAAGTGCCATGCAAAATTTCGTGAAATGAACTAGAATTTTTTAAACACGGACTGAGGAAAGTGAACAAGCTATAAGCGTTAAAATACTAACAAACTAACAAGATCTTTTGTTGTCTATAGCCGGGTACAGTGGAACTCGGATTCCATGAGGTCGCCGGGCCTGGCCTAAAATCTCGTTGAATCCGAGTCTTCGTTATAGCAAACACGAGGTTTTGTATAGATAGATAATTACAGGCACTGAGCAAGTAATGTATAAAGAGAAGTCACAAGAAGTGCCTGAAATGCTGGCATATTAAGAGCGGTGTAAAAAAAAAAAAAGAGACTGATTCATTCAAATGCAAACGGCTGGGTCATCTCGATTGTTTGCCAAAAAGTTATGTTGCTGTGTAGAGCCTAGCATACGGCAACTTTTGATTCCTTAGACCAGCGCACAATTCATTAAGTAGATCTACGTCAAGACTAGCTTGTTCTTGTAATAATGATCAGTTGAGGGGGGGGGGGGGGGAAAGACTGTGACGCGTTTGTATCTGCGACGTTCAACGCTAGTGCTTCCCCCCCTCCCCTCCCCGACACGCACACACAGCCACACGTGTGCAGGTCGCCCATCCGACCCCGACACACGCCAGAGTAGACACGTGGGCATGCCAACAACGCATGTGTTTGTATAATAATAATAATAATAATAATAGATAGCATTTGTATAGCGCATATCCCCGCTCAGCAGCAGGCTCTATGCGCTTTACACTATATTATTACCCCAGCAGACCATAGAACACTCCGAAACATTCTCAGCTTCCCGGGAAGCATACAGTGCAAGCAGCCGATTAAGCGCTCAAACACTAACAAACTGACAAGATCTTTCGCTGTCTATAGCCGGGTACCCATTCCCACCTGGGTGAAGTGAGGAAAATTCGTGTAAAGTGCCTTTCCCAAGGACACAACGTCGGGCCCTTGACGGGATTCGAACCCACGACCTTACGATTGCGAGTCCGAGAGCCTAATTGTATGAAAAAAGGCCGCTGATTGGTCGCATGCAATCGGTTAAGTGAATAATGTTCACGATGAATGTGCAATGGATACTTTCCAAGAATAGATAAAGTTCGTTGTGGGAGAAAAATGAGCGAAGCCACGTCTGCGGTGGCTGTTCATCCTGGATGCGACCTCGTTAAATCCGAGCTCGCTGATTTAAGTGCTCATTGAATCCATATCATTTTTATTGATTTTAAAGAAGGAAAAAAAACGGGAATCTATCTCATCTCGTTGAATCCGAGTTCTCGTTGAATCT